TGGATTGATTTCTGGTGTGTTCAATTCTGTTCCATTGGTCTATCCTTTTTCGTTTCTGTACCATTACCATGCTGTTTTGATAACAATTGACATGTAGTATGTCCTAAAATCTGGTACTGTGATGCCTCCAGCTTTGTTTTTGTTGTACAAGATTGCTTTAGCTATTTGAGGTCTCCTGTGTCTCCATATGAATTTCTGTTCCAATTTTTCCAGATCTGAGAAGAAGGTCTTCGGTATCTTGATTGGTATTGCATTGAATCTGTAAATTGCTTTTGGGAGAATGGACATTTTGATGATATTGATTGTTCCAATCCATGAGCATGGAAGATTTTTCCATTTCTTGGTATCCTCTTCTATTTCTTTCTTTAAGGTTTTGTAATTTTTATCGTAGAGATCTTTAACGTCTTTGGTTAAGTTTATTCCAAGGTATTTGATTGTTTTTGTAGCTATTGTGAATGGGATTGATCTTAGAAGTTCTTCTTCAACCATGGCATTGTCTGTGTATACAAAGGCTGTTGATTTTTGTGCATTGATTTTATACCCTGCTACTTTGCCAAACTCTTCTATGAGTTCCAATAGACATTTTTCAAAAGAGGAAATCCAAATGGCCAACAGACACATGAAAAAATGTTCAAGATCACTAGCCATCTGGAAAATGCAAATCAAAACCACAATGAGGTTCCACCTCACCCAGTTAGATGGCTCACATTCAGAAATCTACCAACAATAGCTGCTGGAGAGGATGTGGGGAAAAAGGGACACTAACCCACTGTTGGTGGGAATGCAAACTGGTTAAGCCACTATGGAAGTCAGTCTGGAGATTCCTCAGAAACCTGAATATAACCCTACCATTCAACCCAGCCATCCCACTCCTTGGAATTTACCCAAAGGAAATTAAATTGGCAAACAAAAAAACAGTCTGCACATTAATGTTTATTGCAGCTCAATTCACAATAGCTAAGACCTGGAACCAACCCAAATGCCCATCAACAGTAGACTGGATAAAGAAATTATGGGACATGTACTCTATAGAATACTATACAGCAGTCAAAAACAACAAAACCCAGTCATTTGCAACAAGATGGAGGAATTTGGAAAACATCATGCTGAGTGAATTAAGCCAGTCCCAAAGGGACAAATATATGTTCTCCCTGATCAGCGACAACTAACTGAGCACCAAAGGGGAAAATTGTTGAAGTGAAATGGACACTATGAGAAACAGTGACTTGATCAGCTCTTGTCCTGACTGTTGATGAACAATGTAATACTTTATCCATTTTAGTATTTTTTCTTTGTTCTAGTACCATTGGTTGAACTCTGTAATTAACACACAATTATTCTTAGGTGTTTAAATTTTAACTGAAATGTGATCCCTGTTAGGAATTTGGAAAGCATTATGCTGAGTGAAATAAGCCAATCCCAAAGGGACAAATACCACTTGTTCTCCTTGATAGGTGACAACTAACTGAGCACCAAAAAGGAAAGCTGTTAAAGTGAAATGAACACTATGAGAAATGGTGACTTGATCAGCCCTCACGCTGACTGTTGATGAGCAGCTTAATATGTTATCCCTCTTAGTATTTTTTTTGTTTGTTCTACTTAATACTTTTGGTTGACGACTGTAATCAATACACAATTCTTCTTAAGTGCTGAAACTTAACTGAAAAGTGATCGCTGTTAAATATAAGAGTGGGAATAAGAGAGGGACGAGATGTGCAATTCGGGACATGCTCAAGCTGACTTACCTCAAACGGTGGAGTTAGAAACATACCAGGGGATTCGAATTCAATCCCATCGAGGTGGCATGTACCAATGCCATCTCACTAGTCCCAGTGATCAATTTCTGTTCACAATTGATCATAATGATAGGACTAAGAACCAAAGGGATCACATAAACAAGACTAGTGTCTGCAAATACTAGCTAATAGAATCAAAAAGGGAGAGAATGATCCAACATGGGAAGTGAGATACACAGCAGACCCATAGAATGGCAGATGTGCTAAACAGCACTCTGGCCTCAGAATCAGCCCTTAAGGCATGTGGATCTGGCTGAAATGCCCATGAGAGTATTTCAGGCATGGAAAGCCAAGACACTCTAGGGGAAAAAAAAAAAAAACCTAAATGAAAGATCTCCGCGAGTGAGATCCCAGTGGAAAGAATGGATCATCAAAGAAGGAGGTACCTTTCTCTGAAGGGAGGAGAGAACTTCCACTTTGACTATGGCCTTGTCTAACTATGATCAGAGTCGGTGAACTCAGGGGGCTTCCATAGCCTTGGCAGCTCATGACAAGAGCCTAGGGTGATTACTGAGGCCATAAACAAGAGTGTCAATTTGTAAAGTCAACAACAGGAGTCACTGTGCACTTACTCCTCATGGTGGATCTTTGTCCTTAGTGTGCTGTACATTGAGATTTAATGCTATAACTAGTACTCAAACAGTATTTTTCACTTTATGTTTCTGTGTGGGAGCAAACTGTTGAAATCCTCACTTAATATATACTAAACTGATCTTCTGTATATTAAGAGAATCGAAAATGAATCTTGATGTGAATGGAAGGGGAGAGGGAGTGGGAAAGGGGAGGGTTGCGTTATGGGGGGGAAGCCATTGTAATCCATAAACTGTACTTCGGAAATTTATATTCATTAAATAAAAGTTAAAAAAAATAAGCAAAAAAAAAAATAAAAGAATCAAAAACTCAATCCTGGTCTCCTACATGGCTTGTATGGATATCTATCAACCTAAACCATCACCACTGGTACCCAGGGTACTCATTAGCAGGAGTACTCATTAGCAGGAAACTGGAGTTGGGAATGAAGCTGGGACTTGAATCCAGATACTCCAATGTGAGATGCTGGAGATCAATTGAGTCTTAACCACAACACCTAGGTTACCCCTACATATTGCTCTACATTTAGCTAATTTCTATATATGGTGTAAAGTATAGATGAGAGCTCATTTTCTTTTTTATATGAATATTTATTTATTCAACTACCTTTTGTTGAAAATACTGCCCTAACGTTTCTCTATTGACTTGCTTTTGAACTACTGTCAAAATCAGATGCTATTACACGTTGGAATCTACTTCTGGACTCTCTATTTTGTTCCATTCATCTATTTTTCAAATTATACCAAAGTAACTTTAAAGGAAGTTCTGAAATTGGTCAGTGTTAGTTCTTGAACAACTTCATATTAAATTTGTTGGTCCTTCTTGTGATTTGATTTAGTTATTTTTCCCCTT